CCCCGCACCCGCCCAGGCAGAGGTTCCCCCCGGCTTGTGGCGAAAGTCCTCGAAGCACGCGGGTGTTCAACGCGTTTTCCGCCGCAGCGGCAAGGGCCGGTGGGGGCCTCGCCCCGCCTGAGGTGCCCGGAGTGCGGGCGGGAGCCCAAAGTCCCTCAGGGCCCGACCGGGGCCTGAGGGACCCCCGCAGCCAGAGCCCGGCTTCCAGGTTGTCTCCCCCGGGCGCTGGGGCCGTTCCTATATTTTAACAGTGTGCTGCCACGTTGGGGTTACTTCTGAATGTCCTCCCTTTGTAGGGAAAGTTTCTAATTGCCTTGGCACCTATATTTTTAAGTGCGTGCCATGTACTCTCCCCCAAGGATCCCCTCACATGGCCTTTGCCAAAGTTACTGCCCGGCCGCCGCTCCCCAGGTACCATAGGCAGGGGGCCCGGGGACAGCTTCGGTGCCGTCCTGCCCGTGAGGCCTGGGCTGAGTTCCTTGTCCGCTTTGATAGCCCTCTGCTTAAAATTGACTGTACCATGTGTTTCTTGGATAGTTTCATGGCAATCTATGCTTAAGGACGCTCGTTCCTCGGCTCAAACTTTCCCAAAGGCGAATGGCTGTCGCAATTCAGCTGCCTTTACTGCAAGAACTGTGAACCTCAAACTCCGGAGAACGAAAATGCAAGAAAGTGTTAAAACTCCAAGGATTTCTAAATCAGATAGAAATGTGGCTTCTCCCAGGCTTGAGACACAATAACTCTGGAAACAGAACATATTTATAAAAGAGTGATATTTGATTTATGAGTCATAATGTGCTCTCTTCTAGCCAAGGGAATGACACATGTGTGCCAAAGAGGATGAATTTGTGAAATATTTGATATCCAACAACACTTGCCAAGAGAAGATTTGTTTGTTGCTGGGTATTTATTTTAATACAGCCGTCTATATAATCTGCATATGAATAACGTTATCTCGCTTGTTACAGCGACAAGTTTGCTGGTGTGCTTGCCAATAGGATTCTCTGAATAGTCTAGTCACACAGTGGGCGCTAGACTGTCCTGTGACATTGAATATTGTAGCCTGCTTAGCTCTTTATCAGTACTTCCCTGAAATTAAGTTAAAGCTAAATGTGACCTGAAATTGATACAATGTCTATAATACTTAACATTTTAGAAACACAACAATTGTTGCATAGAACAAGCTACACAACTCGCCATGAATATTTTAAAATAATTAAATTGGAG